ATATATATATATATATATATATATATATATATATATATATATATATATATATAAAAGAGAGAAATATATATTTACACTATTTATGAATGTTTACAATGCATTAACTAGTATTAGCAGATAATTGTTTGGATTATAATAATGCAGTATTAAATGTTAAAATTAACGTGCACTATTAAAATTAAAATGTGAACGCTTGTTGTAATGTGTTATAATATTTAAATGAAAAAATAAATAAATATGAGCTAGTGACTGTTCTTAAAAAAATTGAGGTTCATCTATATTTGAAATTATTTAAGCTTATTTTTTTCTTTTCTCCAAATTTTAAAAAGTTGCAGACTCATTTCACACACACACACAAAAATCTATATTTAAAACGACATATTTCCGGCCACATCTTCCTGACCCTCGAGTCTGGTTGCTGACTGGTGTTTTAACGTGTCAGTGACATCACTTCCTGCTTCAGTCCTCCAGCACTGTGAGCTCTGCGTGTGGCGGCAGACCTGCAATAACGACAGCAAACCTCCAAACACGGACATTCTGGAAGAGCAGTTACAGTATATGCCACAGATCCTTATGCATGCAGACGTCCAGTGATGATGTCACTTCCTGTAGCCGAACGAATGAACACCAGTGAAACCCGTCCTTCAGCCCTGAATCTCATGCATTTAGAACACCAGACAGAAGAGTGGAGAATGATTTACAATACAGAGCATTAGTGCCGTCCATGTATTTAATCACTTTGCTTCCTATATATAGTATTTATTTAATTCATCTTCATCCCTTTGGGATTCATTGAAAACTATTGATTTAAACATGAACTTTAAGCATAATGGTTTACTGTAGGAAAGAGTTTAACTGTAAACTGTGCTGTATTGTTTAATAGTCATTGTAGTTGTGGAAAACCACAGTATTTGGTCGTTTGTTTATATTTCTATAGTTGTTCTGTTACCATAGTAACTATAGAATCACCACAACAGATCAGTTGTTGATGTTGTGTTACCATAGCAACTATAGAATCACAACAATAGATCCACTACTGACGTTGTTTTGTTACCATAGTAACAATAGAATCAAAACAGATCAATTACTTTAGTTGTGTTACCATAGCAACTGTAGAGTCACAACAATAGATTGACTACTGATGTTGTTACCATATTAACTATAGAATCACAACAGATCAATTACTTTAGTTGTATTACCATAGCAACTGTAGAATCACCACAACAGATCAATTACTGTAGTTCTGTTACCATTGCAACTATAGAATCACCACAACAGATCAGTTGTTGTTGTTGTTGTGTTACCATAGCAACTATAGAATCAAAACAGATCAATTACTTTAGTTGTTGTGTTACCATAGCAACTGTAGAGTCACAACAATAGATCGACTACTGACGTTGTTAACGTAGTAACTATAGAATCACAACAGATCAATTACTTTAGTTCTGTTACCATAGCAACTTTAGAATCACCACAACAGATCAATTACTGTAGTTATTGTGTTACCATAGTAACTGTAGAATCACCACAACAGATCGGCTACTGTAGTTGTTGTTACCATAGCAACCATAGAATGACTACAACAGATCGATTACTGTCGTTGTTGTGTTACCATAGCAACCATAGAATTACCACAACAGACCAATTACTGTAGTTGTTGTGTTATCATAGCAACTATAGAATCACCACAACAGAACAATTACTTTAGTTGTTCTTACCATAGCAACCATAGAATTCCCACAACATATCAATTACTGTCGTTGTTGTGTTACTATAGCAACTATAGAATTACCACAACAGATCCATTACTGTCATTGTTGTTTTACCATAGCAACCATAGAATCACCACAACAGATCAATTAATGTAGTTGTTGTTACAATTGCAACTGTAGAATCACCACAACAGATCGATTACTGTCGTTGTTGTGTTACCATAGCGACTATAGAATCACAATAGATCGATTACTGTAGTTGTTGTGTTACCATAGCAACTGTATAGTCACCACAACAGATCGATTAATGTTGTTGTTGTGTTACCATAGCGACTATAGAATCACCACAATAGATCAATTACTGTAGTTGTTGTGTTACCATAGCAACTGTACAATCGCCATGTGGATCTTCCAGGATGAAAGCAGTTTACGCTCATGATTATCAGGGCTGCAGGATGAGGTTTCAGGTCTTTACTTCCTGTGAAATCTTCTAGTTCTTCCTGTGCTCGACCAAGAGACTCGTAGAGCAGCTAATATTGTGAATATCGATACAATAATCATAGAGAGAATGCCTATCACATGTCTGTTCATCATGCAAAACACCGAACGCTTCCTGAGGATGTGAAGTCCCTGGCAATGTGACGCCATTCACTTGTGTGTTTATATATGTGGAGGATGTAGAAATACAGCGAAATGAACACTTCATGCGGCGTCTGATGAGTTAGTAGTTTCATTCATTATAGGACTGAAGAGATCGTCTAACTGGTCATGCATTACCTACTGAATTAAAACAAACGCTTGCAGAGGAATTATTAATTAAATCTGAATCAACGAAACAAAGACACTCATTTTGAATTTTAATAATAGCATCTGTTACCATAGCAACCACACTTTAAATTGTGATTAGTTGCGGTACTTAAGAAAAATTTCATTCCGTTGTAACTTTTAAACAGTTAAATTGGCTTCACTTAATGATGATTGAATGATTAAATTCTGAATGATTTGCCTTATATGTGGGCATACCTTCTGTGTTATTAATATCATTAACTAAAACTCTCATATTTGGCATTAAATACTGTATTATTAAGGGCCAAATGTGTAAATATTAGGGGTGTAACTGTCCATGGAAATTACAGCTGAGTACATTTTCTGTACAGTAAAGCAAAGGCCAAACCAGCGGCGTAGCGGAGATTTTAAAAGTGGGGGAGACAGCTGAATGACATCCAAAGGTTTACATTCATATAATAATTAATCACCTGTTTCTAAATGGTCTGTCTCTAAAAGTGAGGGGGACGTATTCACCCCATCCCCCCGCTTGCTACCCCCCTGGGCCAAACTATGTATAAAATAGCCTTTTCTATTATTATTATTAAGGGTGGCACGGTGGCTCAGTGGTTAGCACTGTCGCATCACAGCAAGAAGGTTGCTGGTTCGAGCCCTGGCTGGGCCAGTTGGAATTTCAGTGTGGAGTTTGCATTTTCTCCCCGTGTTGGCGAGGGTTTCCCCCACAGTCCAAACACATGCGCTATAGGGGAATTGATCAACTAAATTGGCCGTAGTGTATGAGTGTGTGTGTGTGAAAGAGTGTGTATAGGTGTTTCCCAGTACTGGGTTGCAGTTGGAAGGGCATCCGCTGTGTAAAACATATGCTGGAATAGTTGCCGGTTCATTCCGCTGTGGCGACCCCTGATAAATAAAGGGACTAAGCTAAAGGAAAATTAATGAATGAATATTATTATAAAATATTAATTTACTAAACAAATTGTGGCTTTAAATATATTAAATTAGAACTCCTGTAATGTTAAAGTATGCAATTAATTAATTAAAAAATAATCATGAATATTAAAAATATGTAAATAAAATACTAAAAATAATTACAGATTTTTTCCCTCATGATAAATATTTTCATTATCAAATCATGACATTCAGTTGTGATTTATTTATTAGATTAAAAATAATTCCATATAAATCCAAAATTTAATCCAATCATAAATGAACACGAGCTCTTTTACACTTAAATTGTGGCTTTAAATAAATTTCTATTTAGTCAAATAATAATAATAATAATGAAATTACACTGTTTTCTCAATTCTGTAGCCTATTACTGTCATATAGAAGTGGAAATATTGACTTAAAAAATAATCATGAATAAAATAATAATTGTCCGTAGTGTATGTGTGTGAATGGGTGTTTTCCAGTGATGGGTTGCAGTTGGAAGGGCATCCGCTGCGTAAATAATATGCTGGATAAGTTGGCGGTTCATTCTGCTGTGGTGAACCCAGATTAATAACGAGACTAAGCTGAAAAGAAAATAAATAAGTATATTTTCTTTGTGATAAATTGTATTTATTATAATGTTGTTTATTAATACCAAATTCATTCATTCATTTTTCTTCGGATTAGTCCCTTTATTCATCAGAATTTCACAGTGGAATGAATTCCAGCATATGTTTTACACAGTGGATGCTCTTCCAGCCACAACCCAGTTCAGGGAAACACCCATACACACTTAATCACACACACACACTCAATCATAAACTACAGTCAGTTTATTTGATCAGTTCCCCTATAGCGCATGTGTTTGGACTGTGGGGGAAACAATAATAAAAATATAAATAAAATACTTAAAATAATTTGTAATTTTTTTTTTTATGATAAATATAATCATTATCAAATCATAACATGAAGAAAATTAAAATATAAATAAAACTTATTCAAATAATTAAATATATAAATTCAAAATTCAGTTTAATCATATATGAGCATGGGCTCTTTTACACTCAAATTGTGGCTTTAATAAATTCTAATTTAGTTAAATAATAATAATAATAATGTTTATAATACAATTATAATGACATTACAGTGTTTTCTCAATTCTGTAAACTATCACTGTATTGTTTTCCAAGTACTGGGTTGCAGCTGGAAGGGCATCCGCTGCGTATAAAACTTGCTGGATAAGTTGGTGGTTCATTCCACTGTGGCGACCCTGGATTAATAAAGGGAATAAGCCGACAAGAAAATGTATGAATGAATGAATCTCTGTAATGTAAAATTAT